GCGAAAAAAAGCGCCCGCATTTAAACTATCACAGTACGCCATGTAGACGCGCTCGCCTGCCTGCATGCCCGGGACGGGGCGCCCGTCCACAAGAACAAACTTTTCCGAGACCTCCCTTCGCGCAACTTGCATGTGGTTTTCTTGGGCCAACCACAACGACCAGGTAAAACCCATTGGCGGGACAGTCAAGCACATTGATACCTTCTCCTCCAAACTGAAATCACTCAAAAGCTCCCCCGATACACCAGCCCCCAGCAGATCCCCGACGACGGCATCGACCTCGAACGCGAAGAAATCTGAGAGCTCATCGGAGATCCCGCACTCGTAGAAACAGGTCCTTGATGTCACCCTCGGCCCAACGCAGGGCCTGACCTACGGGGGCCTCCAGGTCGCTCAAAGAACTTAAACCGCCTAACTCAGTATGCGGGGGAGGGGCGAACCTAAGATTACATTGGCGGCAGTCGCGGACCAAACGTTGCATCCCCGACTTCTTTAACACCGTGATCGCCCCGATTCGAGCAGCAGGGCGCCGAGTGAACCTCACAAGCCCCCGAGAGGCCATCCTGGTGGCGAAGGCCTTGAAACCCCCAGGGGGTCTTCCAAAGCGGGTCCGTGTAAGGGGGAACTCGGGTTGCCTCGTCCGACAGCTGGCTCCAGACCGCCGCCCCGACGAGCATCTTGTCTTCGAACTTCTGAAGGCATTCCTGGGGCAAACCAACGAAGACTGACTCCAAATCAACAGGCGAGCGCTCCACGTCCAGAAGCGACAACTTCTCCAAAACCATGGGGGCCCGGGGGCCCTGCCCCAGGTCCCCTGCACAATCGTGCTAAAAAATCCACAGCTCCTGAAGGGCTCCTGGGCGAGTGACACTCGGAGGCTTTGGGCCCAGCTCACGAACCCGCCCCCATCAGATGCGCGAGAGCATCGCGCTGGCACTGCGGCAACGTCATCAGGTCAGAGACGGCAGGAGGGGCAGGCACATCACGAGCACAAAAGTACATCGAGTTGAGAGCGTCCACCGACTTGTTGACTGCAGAGGCCACAGCCCACCGACGTGTCAGGCGTCGCGTCGTCGAAAGGCACATCCTTCGCAGGTCGCCTCGTCGCCCCTCAGCGAGTCGAGGCAATGGGGAGATATCGCGGTACCTGCTTGGGGCGCTCTCCCCCTCAGCAAAAGTGGCCTCGCTGCGCAGCTCAGCCATGACTGAGAACAGGTAATCGTGGCGAACGGAATGAATCGAAGCCCGCCCTCCACGCGCTGCGCGCAGGCTCTCGGGGAGCGGCGAAGTGCGGTCGATCCAGCCCGCACCTCTGAGCCCGCAGGCTAGCCAGCCCCGGCGGCGTCGGCGCCAGCTCCAGCGACCCTGCCGCCGCGTCCGCGGCCGCGACCAGGTGCAAGCGAGCGCGCCTCCGCCGCCTTGCGCTTCTCCTTCGAAATGGCCGCCTCCGCTCGCAGCCGGTCGGACACGCGGGCCGTCAGCGCCGGTGACACCAGCGCTCCGCCTGCGCGCGTCCCATCGCCCATGAGGCGAGCCGCTCCCTCGTAGCTCAGCGCCCTCGGCTTGGCGTGACGAGCTTCGGCAATCAACTGGCGCCTGCGGGCAAATGCCCCCATGCGCGCGAGATTCATCACGTTGAGCCCGTCGGACGTCACCGCGAGCTCATGCCCCAGCGCCAGGTTGCCGTCCTCGTGGACGGGCCGATCTCCATCGGGGATCTTCGCCTCCGAGAGCCACTTCGAGTGCTGCGCCCGCGGCCCTTCAGCCACTTCGACCATCTCGCGGCGCATCCGCTCGGTAGTGCGAGCACCGCTCAACGGCCAGTCGTCGAAGTCCGTCATGGTCACCTCCTCCACTGGCTGCCTGGACTCGCGCCTACGCGTCCCGTCGGGCTCGTACTTCGCCAACAGCGTCCGCGCGTCGTCCCACGCCGCTTGGACGTTGCCGTGAGTCGCCGTAGCCGCTCGACACCCCTTGACCCGCTCCTCGCATAACGCGTTGTCGACCTTCGCCTGAAAGTAGTGCAGCTGCTTGACCAAGACGGGCCGCGGTATCTGCCTGTTGGGCAGCACCATGAGCCCGTGGCCGTTCGCCTGGACCGAGCCCGCGGGCAGTGCGACGATCTCGCCGATGCTGTGACTGCCCACCTGCTCCGCGATCACCCACGCGACGGCGGGGGCCGCAGTGGCGGCGCCGCTAGCGCCGGCGCCCGCGGCGCCAGCGGCTGGGCCGCCAGCGCCACCCGCGGCCCCCCCTCCCCGCGAAAAGCGACGACGTCGATCGCCTCGGCCAGCAGCTGGTCCACCTCCGCGTCGGTAGGCGGCTGCTGAAAGCGGTGCAGGCGGGCCCCACCAAGACCGAGCGGGACTCCCCGTTGTCGCCGAGGAACCTCACCATCTCGAACACGTTCTCATCGCTCCTATCCTCGCCATACACGTCGAAGTCTGGGGTCGCGACTGGGACGAGCCCTCCTACCATATCATTCAAGAACACCCGCTCGTGTGACACATCCTCTCCCGCGCCCGCGTACTTCACCCGAGCCCGTCGTAGCATAAGTCCCCCTGGTCCCATCGATAAGGGCCACCCGTCCGCTTCCCGGACTCGAGGACCTGGATGGGGCGGTGGCCCGACTGGAAGCCCAACCAGCGCCATAATGGACGCACGTGACTGCCACCTGCACGACCGAGAAGAACAGGCAGACCAGCGCGCACACGATGAGCTGCCAAGCCTGGTGACCCCCGCTGCTTGGAGCCGACAGCGCCTCACACTGACAGTGACAGTGGCAGATCGGCTCCGGGATGTCTGGGCACTTTACCTCTGCCCTTCCCGCCGCTCGCGCGGCCTCCGCGGCGTCAGAGAAGACTCCGCGTAGCACCCAGGCCGAGAAGGCGGTGACCACGCTGCTGGTCGCGACCTGCACAGACGCGGTCGAGGCGAGAAAGGCCCAGAGCATTCACGCGCGGGGATGGTCCGTGCGCACCTGATGCGCAGCAAAAACCATGAGGGTTGAAAACGGCCGCGGGGAAGAACGATCAATGCTGTGCCCCGCGCTCTCATCATCGCCAGCAGCGTCATCCTCCGCATCAACATCATCAGCATCATCATCGGAGCCATCAGCATTGTTGTCACCATCAGTGTCATCATTATCAGTATCGTCGTCCGCATCATGATGAGCATCAGCTTAATCATCATCAGTATCGGTATCGTCATCATGATCAGCAGCATCGTCATCATCAGCATCAGCAGCAACGGCCGCAGCAACACCATCACCAGCCGCAGCACCATCATACTCATCAGCATCGCCATCATCAGCATCAGCATCATCATCATCAACATCACCATCACCAGCATCATCATCAGCATCACCAGCATCATCATCAATGTCCTCGACATCGTCAGCATCTTCATGAGGATCCGTTGCATTATCAGCATTATCAGCATTACCCGACTCGCGTGCATCATCATCCGTATCAGCATCAACCACAACAGCAGCATCAGCATCGTCACCATGATCATCGTCATCAGCAGCAACAACCATATCATCATCAACTACACAATCGGAATCCTCAACATTATCCTCATCATCAGTTGCATCATCGCTACCATCATCGTAGTCATCATAAGAATCATAATCCACCGACCCCTTGTGGGTCTCTTGGCGCGTGAGATCATCCCCCCCTCCCCCCATAATCCCCCCCAGGGACCCCAAACGGGCAATTTGACCCCCCCCTGGCCGAGCTCGACCCCGTACCGAACGCGCCACGGGGGAGCGGAGGGCTCCAAAACTCGCCAAGAAGGCACCAAAACGCTCCACAGACGGTCCCTGGGGGCCACGATTCGCCGAAATATCGCCCCTGGACGCCCACGATGGCCTCAAGGCAGCCTCTGAAGCTGCCAAGACGCCCCAAAAGGCCCCCAAGATGCGCCCCAAGAGGTTCCCAAGAAACAACCATGGTCCCACTCCCTCAGAAAAGAATAAGCATGTTTCGCATGCTCGCCTATTCGGTTTCCACAACGTCCCAGACGGGCAAACCTTCAATATCGCCCCCAGACGGCCAAAAGGGCCCCCCAAAAGGATCGAACAGGGTCCAACAACAGCCCACGAAGCCCCCAAGACAGCCCAAGAGGGCCCCCAGACGGCTCCAAGACGGAGTCCAGAGGGCACCTGTTCGAGCCTTCGGCTCCAAGACGCCCCCAGGCTGCCCCGAGAACACCCCGAGAGGCCCTGAGGGATCCCCAAGAGAACCTCAAAAGCCTCCAATAAGCCCCCAGGAAGCCCCCAAGAGGCCCCAAAACTTGGCCCAAGATGCCTCGAGGCGGCCGGATATGGCCTGCAGACAGGCCAAAATGCCACCAAAAGGCCACAAAAGAGCACCAAGAGGTACGATAACAACAACGCAGCAACAGGAACGATGTCGAGCGCCGTGTCATGATTTGGAGACGCCTCGTGAAATGCAGTCCTGGAGGCGCAATAATTTATATAGGGGTCTGCGGATGTGGTATGAGCCTATATAATCATCGCCATCGTCAGCATCATCATTGTTACCATCATCACCATCACCACATCATCCCCATGTCATGATCGTCAGCATCACCATCATCAACATCACCATCACCACCAGCATCAATAGCATCATCATTATCACCAATCTCAGCATCCTCGTCATCATCATCGTCGTCGCCGTCATTGTCATCATCATCAGCAGCAGCATCATCATCATCGTCAGCATCAGCATTATCATTGTCATCGTCATCACCATCGCCCATGAAGGCTTCACAGACTTCGACGACGCACCACAAAACCCAAGACAGCCTATGTGTCAGACGTGACAGCAAAAATGTATACCCAGCTCCCAGGTCCCCCACGACGGCCCTACGAAAAGCGCGCCACGTGCCACGGCTCTTCGAAGGCCGAAGAGACAAGAAGCCAGACGTTGGAACCTCCGTGCTCCCTCGTGCACAGACCGAGAAAGCTGGGCTGGCACGGTGGCGGGAGTTGCCGCAGGCAGCTGGATATTAAACTCGATCCACCATTTGTTGTAATGTCTACCAAGATTCCATGGATTCCACTTCGTGTCCGCATCACCATCCATAGTCATAGGCCCCTCTTGAGTAGGGTAAGCTGCTACCCAGCCAACGACCCAAGACGTGTCTTGTAACCATGAGGCTGTCACCATGCCGCGCTTCTTGACGTTGGCGAACTTCTCGTCGAACGTGTCAGTGCCCAAGCTTGTCGAATTGATATATCCACTGCTGTTTGGCATTCCCTGGGTCATGGACACCACATGCAGAGCGGCCCCGCCTCCGATGAAAGACGACAACAGGGGGGCGGCGACCAATAGAGAGCGGGTCATTGTGACGGAGCAGCCCGACCCGCAATCAAACAGAAATAGTTCGAGGGTGCGCTCAGTGACGCAGGGGCTCCGGCTGCAGGAGCGGCTGCTGAAGGAGAGTTTACAAATGCTTGAGCCAAACTGCTATGGACCCAAGACGGCCCCTTGGGACGTGTAGGTGGGCACTCGGGCCGTCCTGGAGCCTTCTGGGGGGGGGCCTCGAGGAGGCTTCGGAGAGGCTCCAGGAAGGGGAAGGGACGCTTAGGTCAGGGTGCCCTTGAGGGGGGGCCCTGGGGTCAACGAGCCCAGGAGATGATTCGGCTGTGACTTGATTCGGCTGTAGTGCTGTAGTGGTGCAGCGCTTCGGCAGCAGGTTTCGGCGGTCGCTTGTGAATTGCCAGTTCTGGTTATCCTAGCTGCCGCAGTACTGGCGTGGTCAGTGTCGATGCTGCAGCCGTCCTCGGTGCAGCCACTGTCTCTGTGGATGACTGTAGTAGCCGACATCGGCGTCGACTTTGCCTGCTACGTGATGCAGCGCGCACCATTGCAGTCTAGTGCAATGAAACGAAACGTTCGAAAGGGCACGGGGGAGAGAAGACGGAGGTAATGGAAGATGAAAGGAGGATTTGGGTCAGAAGGAGTAGGATGAGCACGGAGGGGTCTGACAGAACAGGGATGATCGCCTTGGGGAGGGGTGCTGGCCAAGATGGGGTAGTTCCAAGATAGCCCACGTTGGTCCCAAGACGGCCCAAGAAGCGCCCGAGACGCCCCATGAGGGTTCCAAGAGGACAACGAGAGGCCCCTGAAGACGCGAACATCATTGACTTGGCTTGGGTTTCTGGACGATTTGGGCAGTACCGCCTTTTCGAGCTGCCGACCGCCCTGAGCGGCCCAAAAGGCCCCAAGATCGCACCAAAGACGGAACAAAAAGCCTCCAAGCGGGTCCCCGAATGGCCCAAGATGGCCCTAAGACGGCACAAGAGGCCTGCATGACGGCCCCGTCATGAGGGCCTCATCTCCAACGATCTCCTCGACACCAGTCCTGCCTGCCTTACCGTTCCCCATGGGCACGAGCACATCACCATGCAGCCACCGTGATGCGAAATGGGCCGGCGGCCAGGTGCTTCGAGAAATGCAGTGGGCGGCGGCGGCTCGCCGTGGGCGCCTTCGATGCCTGCCGCTCCCTTCAGGGGAAGATAAACCTGCACAACGCACAAGCTGACAGAGGTCCGCGCAGAGTCCTGGGTCGGCGCTGGACCCCCCCCCCTGTCGCGCGGAGCGCACAGGGACGGCGCTGGAGGCGCAGCCGGGCGAATCCAGCCGCAGATCCAAGAAATCAGCGCGAACGTTCGAAGGTTCATTCCCCAAACGGTGCTTGCGCTGTCTGGGGTTCTTGCTTGCGCTTCTCATGGATTGGATCTGTGCCCCGAGGATCCGCCATGTTCTGGCCCGTGGCCACCCCGTGGCCGCGAGTAGGGGTGCCCCGAGGAAATGCAGACTTGCCCTTCGAAAAACGACCGCGGAGACGCTCGTGCATCACACAGCTCACATATCCACAGTGCCATCTTACTTTCTGTCTTTGGAGGGTGAAAGAGTGGGTCTGCAACAGGGGGTCTTCAGTGGGGGCTGAATGGCCCATGTATGCTCGATGTATCGCTCATGTATGTGATCGGGTACGATTGGCATCCAATGCTGGCGGTCATTGATGGCCAGTCATTCGTGCCCGCGCGTTGCCCGCGCGGGCACACGCGCCGTCCATCCATTATCGTTCATGCGTGCGGGCGTTCTTGCATATTGCGCGTGGGTCGGCGAAGTGGAGTGCAAGTGTGTCTTGATTGTATGGTTGCTGATCGCGTATGTTCCCAAACGATGACTTCTCGACCCCCAAGACAGATTTGGAATGGGCCCCGCGATTCTCCCAAAATGTGAATTCACATTTTCCTTTTTCCCAAAATGTGAATTCACATTCTGGCCCCTTCATGAAGAATCCTACACAAAATTCCAAAATGTGAATTCACATTTTCCTTTTTCCCAAAATCTGAATTCACATTCTCCTTTTTCCCAAAATGTGAATTCACATTTTGCTTTTCCCCACAATGTGAATTCACATGTTGCCCTGGCCTTCAAGATCCCCAATGCTGAGGCGCAGTGTTCCGCATGCCAGATTGGCTGGGCAGATTTCGACACTCACCTGACCGCTTTCGTGTGTTCCAGCCTGTTCTTGTTGCGCCCTTAGCGCACGTTGCCTTCGTCGCCTTTCCCGAACCCCCCGCCCCCTTGCTTCCTTTCCCCTCAAGTCTCGCGCGCGGGCGCAGGCGGGGGGCTTCAATTAGTTCCCCCGCCGAACACAGCAATCGAGGATGCATCGCCCATTCACGACTTTAAAAAACATCATTGCCGGGACCCTGCGCCCGACCCCCACTTTCACCCTCCAATGTCTGGAGCCCACGCTGGCAAACGCGACCGCGCCACTGCCTCTTGCTACAGCCGCAGGGGGGCGCCCCGCAGAAGCGAGGCTGCGCCCAGCGCCCACCCCTCCCTCGGGGTGCACTCTGCCTGGCTCTTCCTCACGCCCGCCCTCGGCTCCTGGCACCGGCCGCACGGTGCCCTGCCTCGGCCACCGCGGCCCGGACCGCCTGCTCTACGCACCCGTCCCGTTCGCCTTCTGGGCGGAGGCACCTGCCTCGCTGCCCCAGCCGCTCTCGGGTCCGCCCGCAATGGCGGCGCGGTGGCCCTGCAGGTCCTTCGATCCAGACCGTCTGCCCGCTGCCTCCGCCCGGGACGGCTGCCACCTCCGGCCGGGTGCCGTTGCGCCCCGCCCGCCCCCCCCGGCCTTTTGCCCCCCCCCCCCCCCGCCCTTCCTTCGCCGCTGCCTCCCTTTTCCCCTGGGGCACGGTCCGCTCCGGACGCCCCTGTCAGGCCGATTCTGGCTCGCGCCACAGGGATGCTTTGCAGGTCATCCGCGACCTCGGCATCCACGGCGCTTGGCCGCCGGTTGCTTTCCTCCGCCTGGCTCGCCTTGTGTCCACTCTGTCCCTATCGCCGGCTCCCGCGCCGACGCTGAGGTGGTCCTACGCTGGCCTCCCAGGTTGCCTCGCAGGTCACTCGTGACCTTGGCTCCCGCGGGCTCCTCGCTCACCTCCATCGCTGCCTGCCGCCCCCGTCCGCGCTGCCGCCCCCAGCTCCCTGGCCCGCCCTGCCCCGTCTGAGCGATTTCGGCAGGCTGGTCCGGCTTGCTCCGCCTCAGGGGTGCCTTGCAGGTCATCCGCGACCTCGGCACCCGCGGTGCGCGTCCGGAATCGGGGATCTTCTGACCCGGGTCAATCCAGACCCGGGTCAGCAAGAAATCAAAAACTGCAATGCAGGACAAAAAAACTGCAGCGCTGATCTTCGCAAACCTGGGTCAGCCAATACGCGCGGCCGCCTCGCGGCTACGAGCGGCTCGCTAACCCGGGTCAGCCAGAAGGGGGTCTTCGCAGGATCCTGCAGGATCTGGCGCCCTGGCTGACCCCCGTTTCAAGGTTCCCCACGGAACCTATTCCTTCACAGGCCGGCACTCGTGCGTCTGGCCCAGTCTGCCTGCCTCCTTGCCTGGTTTTCATGCCGACCTCCTGCCCGTGCCGGACCTCTACTCCCTCCCCCGCGCATTGCGGCTTAATTCGCGTTTCGTGCATCCCAATTACGCCCCATCGCCAGCGCATGGACTCCGCCTGGCCGCTGACGGAACAGCGTGTGTGTGTGTGTGTGTGTGTGTTTGTGTATGTGGTGTGTGTGTGTGTCTGTTTGTGTGTGGTGTGTGTCTGTGTGTACGTGCGTGTGTGTGTGTGTGTGTGTGTGTGTGCGTGCGTGCGTGCGTGCGTGCGTGCGTGTGTGTGTGTGTGTGTGTGTGTGTGTGTGTGTGTGTTTGTGTGTGTGTCGATTCCCGATCCCCCTGGCGCGCCACGTCCTGATACTCCGCAGAAACCACAGACCTTAGGTCGCTTGAGGGAGTTTCTGTGGAACTACCGTCATCCTCGCCCCCGGCGCGGGGAGCAGAGGAGCCCAGAGCGGCCTCCGGCACCGTTTCCGGACAGATCCGCTGGATCCGCCGACGAATCCCGAACCGGCGCCCTCGCTTGAGACATCCTCACAAAACCGGCCCCGGGGGCGGTGCCCAGAAGAGCCCAGAGCGGCCTCCGGCACCGTTTCCGGACAGATCCGGTGGATCCGCCGACGAATCCCAAACCGGCGCCCTCGCTTGAGACATCCTCACAAAACCGGCCCCGGGGGAGGTGCCCAGAGGAGCCCAGAGCGGCCTCCGGCACCGTTTCCGGACAGATCCGGTGGATCCGGGATCCGCCGACGAATCCCAAACCGGCGCCCTCGCTTGAGACATCCTCACAAAACCGGCCCCGGGGGAGGTGCCCAGAGGAGCCCAGAGCGGCCTCCGGCACCGTTTCCGGACAGATCCGGGATCCGGATCCGGTGACGAATCCCAAACCGGCGCCCTCGCTTGAGACATCCTCACAAAACCGGCCCCGGGGGAGGTGCCCAGAGGAGCCCAGAACGGCCTCCGGCACCGTTTCCGGACAGATCCGCTGGATCCGGTGGATCCGCCGACGAATCCCAAACCGGCGCCCTCGCTTGAGACATCCTCACAAAACCGGCCCCGGGGGAGGTGCCCAGAGGAGCCCAAAGCGGCCTCCGGCACCGTTTCCGGACAGATCCGCTGGATCCGCCGACGAATCCCGAACCGGCGCCCTCGCTTGAGACATCCTCACAAAACCGGCCCCGGGGGAGGTGCCCAGAGGAGCCCAGAGCGGCCTCCGGCACCGTTTCCGGACAGATCCGGTGGATCAGCCGACGAATCCCAAACCGGCGCCCTCGCTTCCTTGAGCATCCAATACACCAATATATAGCAAACGCCAATATATTTGCTCTTAGCGAGAACCCATGTTCGAATATATTCGCTCGCGGCGGGCGCCAATATATTAAGTACGCTTTCCTATGTTGTGTTCGACATGATCCCTCATGGTTGCGCGACGTCACCCCTTGCTAGGGGAAGAGCTTCCTGCGACCCCTTCAAATTTAGGGGCACTTCCTTTTCGTTTACCTTTTTTTTCTGTAGCCATTTGCTCAAACGCGAGTGGCAGCAGGCATTGCGTTGAGATGGGGGGCGCTTCTAAGGAGAAGCCGCGCCTCTACCGCACTTGCCAGCTCGGCGATGAGGCCATG